GCCTCTTGCGATGTGGTCCCAGGTCCTTGTGGGCCCTTCTACGGAAAGAGCAATCTTGGCTAAAGCACTTGCATGAGTCGTTGCAATGGATTGATTACATGGAGCCCATTGGTCTTGAGCATGGTGTGCCTACTGCGTTGCTGGATACACGTATTCTCCATGACTCTGGATGGTGGAAAAAATTTGCTTAAGCGTGCGCAGACAGCCGCTAAGTTGCACCAAACGCGTGAGTGCGTAGGGAAAGAGTTTAGCGTGCGGTTTTGCGACCTCATGTCGGACGTCGGGGTGTATGTTGGCGATTGCTCGGCCAATCTCCCGGATGAAGAGGCAACCTTTTCCTGTGCCACGTGTGGTAAGTGCATGCAAACAGCGAAAGGGGTCGCTGTTCATAATTATCGGCATCATGGTACTAACGCGAGAGAGTATCGCTATGCGCGAGGTAGCGTGTGTCAAGCTTGCTTGCTGAATTGTCAGGATTCCACCCGTCTTCAGCGCCACCTGAAGCAGAAGAAGGAATGCCTTGCAATCCTGGAACAGTCTGATCTTGAGTTTCCTGAGTTGGAACGCCAGCCGTCGCGCACCGCGTTCAAACCCCTTGTCCAAAGCTTTGGGCCTTTGCCTTGGTGGGCTACATTGAAGCCCTCTCCAGACCCTCCTCAGGATGAAGCAGCGTTGCCTAGTGACCTTGCCCTTGCAAGTTCATTGCTGAATTGGATGATGCATGTTGATGCTCAAAGTTGCACCAATCTCGGTTTTTGTGTGCATGCACTTCTTAACATTTGCTGGCCTTTTGTGAAGCATGCGCCCCAACTTGCGCTTGGCTTGGCCCATGTCATAACGGCTGCTGCCGATCATGCTAATGACGTTGAGGTTGAGCACGCTTTGACGCGTGCGTCTGTTGTTGTTGCTTGGATCTTTCACCCTGGGGAGCTTGCCGAACTCGTCAGGCCTGAGCTTGGTATTCGGGCGAGAAGATTGGCTAACTCGAAATGGTTGCTGCTTGACTGTGCGCGTTTGGATTCGTTCGCCAACCTTCAACCTTCTCCCCTAAAAAAAGGCCGCACTGTTCTGATGCCTTATGCCGTGGCCGGCGCCACCACTGAGCTTGAAAATTCCCTGCAACGAGCAGCGGCTGACAAGCAGGCTGACTTATACATATTTGCACTTGATGTGAACTTGGCTGACCATGACACCCAGACTTTGTGCATGCGGCTTTTGCATGAAGGGTGGATTGTTGCCGTTGTTGGTACTTTACTTGATCCTTGTTGGATGATTGGGCCTGTTGATTTTTATGGCGAGGTGTGTTGTGCCAATCGCACCTTGCAGCTCCCTTGGGGCCGTGATAACCTTGTAGCGAGCCAACATCACCTAGTTGCAAAGGCCAATGCCATGGTTCAATGCATGTTGTTGCTTGGTGTCTGTGCGTGGCGGTATCATGTGCCATGTTTGTTTGAGCATCGACCATCTCTGAGATTCTTGCACCATACACAAATGTTGTTGTCGCTGCCTCAAGTTGGCCACGTTGACTTGTACCATGATACATGTGGGCTCCATTGCTTGCTGACGGTGCACCTTGCCCTGTCGCCCAATGACTTGACTCAACGTGACATCCCTCACTCTCTTTTCAAGAGATGCAAGTATGAGGCGATTGCCCGTTGTTTGATTGACCGTGTTTGGTGTGACGATCCTTGTGAATCTCAGAACTGATCTTGGCGCTCTTTTAGGCCTTAAACCGAATTCAATCCTGCCGGTCCGTCCAATCGAAGCGTCCATTTGAAAGAAAGAAAGAAAGAAAGAAAGATCCATCTTTACTCTATCTTCCAGTCCCCAAGTTGCACGAATCGAATTTCAACTTTGAGGCTTTGGGGCTGCTTGGAAGGACGTGACTTTCAGTCAGTTGGTGGTGTCTGAAGTCTTTATTCTCACCAAAGCAGTTGCACGAAGGAGCTTAGACGCATTCCGACCCGATGAAAACATGTCCGGGCTCGTGTTTAACAACCTGGTGCACCTGCGCAGCTTTGCACCCCTTCTTCGACACCACAGACCTCCTTTCCCAGGCTCCCCGACCAGCAAGGTCCTTGGCCTCGAGATCGGCCCTGGCGTCGATGAGCCGCTGCGCCACCTCCCCATGGCCATAATTGGCCGCCCAGTGGAGGGGCGTCTCACCTCGGGGCGGATCAATCCGGTCGCGACGCAGGGAGTGGAGCATTGGCAGCGGCGAGACAGAAGGGGGAGGGAGGGGAAGACCGCAGAAGAGGGTGAAGGTCCTAAGCTTGAAAGCCTTGAGAATTTCAACTGAATGCCCTGCAACTCACAACTGAAACAGAATCAAAATCAAACATAAACATTGCAGCTCTCTTTGCTTGCCACAACAGACCCTCTTCTTGAGGTTCTCCCAGTCCTTCCCAGGCGCCCGGACCATGGTTGTCCTTGGCCTCGAGATCGGCCCTGGCATCGATGAGCCGCTGCGCCACCTTCCAATGGCCCTTTTGGGCCGCAATGTAGAGGGGCGTCCGACCTTGGAGCGGGTCAACCCGGTCACAGCGTGGGGAGCGGAGCTTTAGCCCTGGCGAGACAGAAGGGAAAGGTAAGGTTTCAAGGCATCGAGATTCTCTGGTTGATCTTGGTTCATCAACAGACGAAGATCCCAAATGCAAATATTACAAGTGATTTCCGTGATCCATCTTTACTCTATCTTCCAGTCCCCAAGTTGCACGAGTCGAATTTCAACTTTGAGGCTTTGGGGCTGCTTGGAAGGACGTGACTTTCAGTCAGTTGGTGGTGTCTGAAGTCTTTATTCTCACCAAAGCAGTTGCACGAAGGAGCTTAGACGCATTCCGACCCGATGAAAACATGTCCGGGCTCGTGTTTAACAACCTGGTGCATCTGTGCAGCTTTGCACCCCTTCTGCGACAGTAAAGACCTCCTTGTGCTTGGCCTCGAGATCGGCCCTGGCCTCGATGAGCCGCTGCGCCACCTTCCAATGGCCCTTTTGGGCCGCAATGTAGAGGGGCGTCCGACCTCGGAGCGGGTCAACCCGGTCACAGCGTGGGGAGCGGAGCTTTAGCCCTGGCAAGACAGAAGGGAAAGGGAAGGTTTCAAGGCATCGAGATTCTCTGGTTGATTTTGGTTCATCAAAAAACAAAAATCCCAAATCCATTGCAAGAGGTTACAAGTGATTTCCGTGATCCGTCTTTAATCTATCATCTTCCAGTCCCCAAGTTGCACGAGTCGAATTTCAACTTTGAGGCTTTTGGGCTGCTTGGAAGGACGTCACTTTCAGTCAGTTGGTGGTGTCCGAAGTCTTTTTTCTCACCAAAGCAGTTGCACGAAGGAGCTTAGACACATTCACACCACGGAGCTCCTTTCCCAGGCTCCCCGACCAGCAAGGTCCTTCGCCTCGAGGTCGGCCCTGGCCTCGATGAGCCGCTGCGCCACCTCCCAATGGCCATAATTGGCCGCATGGTGGAGGGGCGTCTGACCTCGGGGCGGATCAATCCGGTCGCGACGCGGGGAGTGGAGCATTGGCAGCGACGGAAAAGGCAGCAGAGGAAATTGTGAGGGGTTTGCGATTGTTTGTTTGATAGTTGGAAATTACCTTCAAGGCCTCTTGTTCAAGGCCTCTTGTTCTTGATATTCTTCAAGGCCTCGTGTTCAAATGTTTCGATTTTTGTCTTGATTCAACATAATATCCAGATCGCTCCATGTGGCTTTCTAAAACTCCTAGGACCAGTCCACACCAATGGCATAGAATCAATCAAAGCTGCACAAAACCCGTCCAGTTGCTTCATTATGTCGTGTTCCGTTCATCGACTCATCTAATCTCGCACCACGTCTTATTCCACTTTCATCACTTCCACCTTCTTGGCCCTAATCCACCACTCAGACCATGTCACAGAATCTTCGATCCTACAAATCCGTTTTGATTGGTGGGGGTGTCAAGTGTCAAATCCCTTTGGCAGGCGCGTTTCATCGACGTTCTCCGGTCACCCTGAGACTTGGGGCCCTGGCGCCAGTCATCCCTCGCCTCGACGGCCGCGCGGGCGGCCACGAGCCGGTTCACCACGGCGAGGTGGCCAGACTTCGCGGCCAGATGCAGCGGTGTGGACCCACCTCGGCCGTGGGGAGTCGAAGGTGTTTTCTCCAGGAAGGTCAATAAGCAAGTCACCACATCTGTGTTTGGATGGAAGGACGAACAGAAAAAGGATGGAACAAGACACAGCGGCTCAATTAATAAGCGGATGCGTCTTTCGATTTCCTTTATCGTGTCTATTTCCTCTGGGGCGGGTCAACCCGTCACAGCGGGCGGAAGGGGAAGGGAGGGGAAGAGCGCGGAAGAGGGTGAAGTTCCTAAGCTTGAAAACATTCAGAATTTCAACTGAATGCCCTGCAACTCACAACTGCTTCAAAGCTGTTGCACAAACAGAATCAAAATCAAACATAAACATTGCAGCTTTCTTTGGACGCCACAACAAACCCTCTTCTTGAGGTTCTCCGTCCGTCCCAGGCACCTGGACCATCTTTGCCTCTGGCCTCGAGATCGGCCCTGGCGTCGATGAGCCGCTGCGCCATCTCACAGTGGCCCTCACGGGCCGCCCAGTGGAGCGGCGTCCGACCTCGGAGCGGGTCAACCCGGTCACAGCGTGGGGAGCAGAGCTTTAGCCCTGGCGAGACAGAAGGGAAAGGGAAGGTTTCAAGGCATCGAGATTTTCTGGTTGATTTTGGTTCATCAACAGACGAAGATCTCAAATCCATTGCAAGAGATTACAAGTGATTTCCGTGATCCGTCTTTACTCTATCATCTTCCAGTCCCCAAGTTGCACAAGTCGAATTTCAACTTTGAGGCTTTGGGGCTGCTTGGAAGGACGTGACTTTCAGTCAGTTGGTGGTGTCCGAAGTCTTTCTTCTCGCCAAAGCAATTGCACGAAGGAGCTTAGACACATTCACACCACCCAGGCGCCCGGACCATGCTCGTCCTTGGCCTCGAGATCGGCCCTGGCCTCGATGAGCCGCTGCGCCACCTCCGAGTGGCCCTCTTCGGCCGCAATGTTGAGAGGCGTCGGACCTCGGGGCGGATCAATCCGGTCGCGACGCGGCGGGGCAGATCAATCCGGTCGCATGTGAGCAGTAAGAAATGTCTTCAGTCCTGGCAGGTTCGCCCACCATCTTGAAGCTTGAACGCATTCTGAATTTTAAGTGAATGCCCTGTGTTCCAACAAACGGGATGATCAAAGTCAACACAAAAGCACTGCTGGCAAAGCGTGTTCCTCAATTGATCAAAATCAGGCTTATATAGCAGCTCTCTTTGATGCCACAACAAACCTCCTTTCCCAGGCGCCCGGACACCCATCGTCCTGGGCCTCGAGGTCCGCCCTGGCGTCAATGAGCCGCTGCACCACCTTCCAATGGCCCATTTCCGCCGCAATGTTGAGAGGCGTCCGACCTTGGGGCAGAACAACCCTGTCACAACCTGGGGAGCGGAGAAAGAAGATCCCAAAATTCATTGCAAAATATTACAAGCTAGAGCTAGTTCGTGATCCATCCTATCTTCCAATCCCCAAGTTGCATAAGTCGAATTCCAACTTCGAGCTGCTCTCTTCGTTCAACTAGAAGGGGCTATCTAAGCTGAATAATTATGTTGTCACATTCTTCCATCTCCAATCGGAACTGTACCTGTCCCACGGCCCTCGGAGCTCCGGGACTCCGGCTGTCGTCTTTAGCCTCGATGTCAAGACCTGCTATCAGCAGTCGCTCCACCTCATCCATTTCTCCGTTGAAGGCAGCGCGGTGCAGCGCAGACCGGCCTCAGACGATCTGACTTTCCAACAGGATTTCCCTGCATGTCCATCTCTACTTCGGGGTGGCGTGTGACCAGGCCCTCACACACCTGCAAAACCTGATGCTGACACTTCAGATCTCTCAATCGCAAGCCCAGCCAGCCGCTTCAACACAAGTCTAAAAAACGAGGTCTCAGTTCCCCCACCTGCTCGGTCGATCTCTGCACCTTGGCAGCTGCCGGTCGTGTACATGTGCTTCCTGGAGAGTGCCGAAAGTTCAAAAGCTTGAATCAGCCCTGCCACGCCGACATCTCAAGTTCCCGGGTTTTCTGGGAAGTGGCTTGACCAAAAGAACAATCCATTCAGCCGTCGTCAGCAGCAAAATGTGGAAGATCGAAGAAATGTACTGAAGTGGTTTGAGAATCCGCCAAAAACATCCAAAAACAACGTTTGTCTCTGACTGACAATCGGCCACAGGAAAATCATGGAAAATCTAAGAACTCCACGTGTCTGTGCTGCAACTCCGCAACAGGCCTGCAAGGTTTGAGTCTGAGCGCAATCACATTTCACCCTCTTGCACCAGTGACATCCAGCAACTGCAACATTGCTGTGCTTCAAGCACGTCTCTCTTGGTCTTGGTTCTGACATCCTCCTTGGTAGTCAGTATAGATACATCACTTTGGAGACGGCCTTGACCACCTTCCTCAAGACCTCACTGGGCTCGGCAGCGGTATCGCTCAGGACCTGCTCAAGAAGACTGCACTCTCAAGGGTAAAACGTTGCATCTTCAAAAAGTCAGTGGTTTACCAAACAATAGTCGATCGGTGGTCTGTGCACCTATTCGTTGTAAAGTGTCCACGTTCAAGACCTGTTGTTTTCCTCTGCTTTGGGAGATTCTCAGATACTACCTAAGATCAACCGCATTGGCAGGGGATGGCGGGTATGTTGGCCTGAAACACTGAAGGGGTCATTGAATATCGAATGTCTGGTTGTACAGGTTCACCGCAAACGAAGTCGGTCCTGTTTTCCTCCAAGATCAACGATCGGTCGTGTCGTACCCTACGTGACTCAAGGGCCCTAAAATGGCCGCGTGCGGAGACAAACTATCAAATGAAGTGCATCGAACGACGTGTTCTCATGCAGTGAAAACTGACATCAAGACGGGAGAAAAGCTCTTTTGTCAGAGCACCTCCATGGAAAACATTCAAAATGGGCCACCTTTATCACACGCTTCGATCATCATAGCAGCTCACATAAAGCCATGCTCCATCTTGTCGAAACAAACGCATTGAGTCTGTCTCTCGATCATAGTGTGCTACCGTTTGTTGCATTCGATCGGATCGTTCTCCACGAGCGGATCTCGCTCACTCTCTTCCTCTCTCTCTTGTGTGGATCTTGTTCTTCTTTCTCCTGCATCATGTCGTCGTACATGGACTTGTAGTGGCTCAACTTCTGCTCCTTTGCTCGAATTTCGATGTGAGTCTCGATAATCAAGCAAAAATGTGCATTCAGAAATCGATGCCACTGTCGAATCTGTTCATCCGTGAGGTTCTCACAGGAAGAAGCTAAGGTGAGCTTCAGGTATTCGTCACGACGAACATCCGCGCGACAATGCCAAATCACATGCCCTCTCATCTGAGCCGAGACCTGGTTGGTCCACAAACGGGAGCAAAGGTCACGCCACTTCGACTGGCCTTCTTCTTCATGAACTTCATCGTATCGTCGTTTCCAACGATTCAATCTCTCATTCCCACGAAGCAACTCATCATCGCTTTCGGTCTCATTGTTGTCGATCTCCAGTTCACGCGCCTCATCAGCAGCCGTTCCAGCATTCAAGGAATCACCATGGCTCAAACCGATGGACGAACGAAAGACCAAGGCACGAAAGTACTCACGCACAACAATGATGCCGTTCTTCGTGCGATTGGCGAACCGGTAGATGACATTCTGCAACACCCACACTGAACCTGCTGCTCCGAGCACTGCAAAGCACAAAACAACCATGATTGTATTCATGAATATGTAGTCAAACACCTGATCACTGTCTTCGGTTGCCATGGCCTCTGCTCCAGCAAGGTTCTCTGCTTGCAAAACTGCCAACGCGCAACGCGCTGCCTTTCGCCACTCATCACCACCTTGTCCTCTTCGGTGCAAGTGCAAGTAGAAATGGCGACGGCTGCAGTAATGGTTCGAATCTATCTTTCGGTCTTTCTCCTTCTGGCATCCTGGGAGGCGGCATAGATTCAACCTCTCCTTCTTTTCATAGTCTTCAGCCAAAAGCATCTGACCTTCAAACAACGACTCTGCCGCTCTCTCATACTCAGCATTCTCTTTGTCTTTCTCGCCCTGAGTGACCTTCTTGGCTGCCACGAAATTTTGGTCGTAGCGTAGGGCATGAACTCCTCTCGACAAAGTGTATGCAAATGCATCTCGAGCGCTTGTCTTGGTGAGTCCGTCAGCTAATTTCTGGTTCGAGTTGACCCAGCGATTGCCCCAGACGGCTGCCAATCGTTCCTTCAAGATGCAAATTTCAATTGCTGTGCGACGCTCTGAAAGTTTCATGCCAGGAGTCACCGACAAAGTGCTATCAAAAAGGGCCTTCGCGTCGGTGATGATGGGAGACTCCTGAAACATGTGCATAGTTCTATCTTCGTGGATGGCGATGTATGGGTTGAATGCCTGCGTAGGAAACCTTCGCCCACTCTATCTCGTCTACAGCAATCGTGGATGCCTGACCCTCTGCCGACAATGAACTCCTGCGCATCTTCACCAATTTCTTACTCGCCCAGTCAATCACCGTCAAAGGAAAGGGTTGGTGGCTCTCAAGTTCTGACTTGTCGGCAATGAACATCAGCATTCCTCCTTGTGAACTGCCATCTGGCCTAACAGACCAGACCGCATCACTGTAGACACCCAGTCGCAGATCAGCCAAGTCACCACGCCGACGGATCTTGAACACGTAGTTCTTCACTGCTTCCTTCAAGAACCTGAGGCATTTGTTTGCTTCCAGCATATCCTTTACTGAGGGCTTGTTGATGTGGGCCTGGAGTAGGCTTATCGATGCAGCTGCTTGAGGGACGCATTGCGTCACTGGCCATGACATAGCCCCAACCAAAGCTCTAAGCTGTCGGTGCTTTTTCTCGGTGCATGGATCTTCAACCATCGTCTTGCGTGTTTTCTCCAGCGTCAAGGGTTTGATCTTGTTGATATATTCCTGCAGCGAAAGGGGGATCAGTTCAAGATCCTCTGACTGCTGGATTTCCAACCCACAAAACCGCATCTTGCATCCAAAGTCCCATGATCCAAAGCGAAAACGCTTGGATAGCTGATGCAAACGATGTTCAAAGCAATCAAAGGCTCCTGCTGGGTCGCGCTGCACATCCTTCAAGGAAAACACTTGTTCACCAGCACCAAGGAAATCGTCGACATGCAGGCCAAGGGCTCCATCAACGATCCACCAACTCTTGTCCTTCTCAAATTGCAGGAACTCGGGATCATCTGCGGTGGCTGCACGGAGGGACAGGTACAAGCATCTGTCCAGTGGATGGCGCAACAATCCGAGCTCATGAGTCAAGGAACGATCAGCAGTCTCGTTCCACTGACGGGGAGCTCTTACGTCTCCGAAAGCTGGCTTCGTCGCCTTCAGGATCTCATGAGGTTTGAATCCCATGAGCCGCTCAAGTCTTCTTCTCATCTCTCCAGGCGGCCGAACGAAGATCCTCGTGGTCTTGTCGATGGAATCGGACTGCATGAAAGCGCTGTTGACATCAGCGCACCACACTTTCCACCTTCGATGAGTTGCCCAAACCATCAAAGTGATCCTTCCGCGCCGACTCAATGTAGGTGACTCTCGCTGCAAATTTTCAGTCAGCACGTCTTTGTGGCGGAAGCCTTGTAGAATGACACGAGCATTCGGAGTGGGTCCATTGCTTGTTGGCTTCCACCTCTGCAAAAATCTTGCGGGCACAATTCTCCTTCCATGGCCTCTGACTCTGGCACGGCCTTCCAGGGCGCATTCTCGATCCACACCATCAGAGCTGCGTCCTTTGCTTGGCTGAAGGCCTCACGTTGTTCTGGTGTCAACTTGCTCTCTTGAATGACTCAGCCAGCAACAACTCTTCATCATCAAGAGGCTCCATTGTGTCCATGAATCGACCAAACGATGGGTCACTGGTGGAAGTCCGTCCAACTGACGAGACATATTGTAAGACTGGAAGGCAAGCGATCTCTCATCATGAGACATCGGACTCCGTGAGCGATGTCTTGAAGACACAGGCTGGTTTTGAGGTCCTTCATCCATCATCTTTTCAATCTTGCTTGGCCTTTCACCCTCTTCAACTTCATCAGGGTGTTCGCGCTTCTTCGCGCTTCTTCGCGCTTTCAACTTCATCATCCATTGGACTCGGGGCAGTTTGCGCTGTTGCTTCTGCAGCGGCGGACTGTCGTTCAGTGTCATGCTGTTGCTGTGGTTCGTGTGGCTGCAGCTGCTCTGTATCTGCTGTGGCTGTACCCGAGTTTTGTTCTCCATCTTCTTGAATTGCTTCTTCTGCAGTTCTCTCTTCAACGGCCTTTTCATCCTCCTGCTCATTGCCAGCGGGACCATCTTCTTCAGTCTGAGCTGCCGTTGCATTCGCAAAAGGTGGGGCCCCCAAGAGGTCAAGAAAACGAATGGGACCTTGCACCGGTTGAAGAGCGCGGCGAACAGTAGATTGAACATCGGCCACACGAGCAGTCTGAGGGAGGTATTGCAAACGAGCCTGGTGTTCTCGAGGTGCCTCGCAACGGATATGCTCGGGAGCGACGCGAAGCAGAGCTGAACCATGAGCTAGCCAGTAAACCGATGGCAGAGGTGCATCACCAGATCCATCTCGTGGGGTCATGGCGCAGACGAGCGCTGGTCCACGCCAGCGGCTGGGTTCGAGCTTTCCATCACCAGACCGCCAATAGTACACCCAATCTCCAGGGTAGTAGATCTGGTCCTCGCCACGGCTTTTGCTCAACAAAGCCTTTCTGAGAGTCTGGCTATGATTTGCTTCATAGAAACTTGTTGCGGCGGACAGTCGCAGCTTCTGCAGAGTCTGATGCTCCATGCTGGCCTCTGCACGATTGGTCATGGGCTCATCAGACAATCCAACATCTCTTGGGTTTCGCCCAAACACAATCTGTGAGGGTGATGAACCATGGATAGATCGCAGCTGATTCCTCAAAGAACATGCAATGGGCACTGCTGTTGAGAGCTTTAGATCTGGAGTTTCCTGCTTCATCTTCAACAGCTGTAGCCTTCGAACTGCACGCAATCTTTCTACGGTGCCCATGCGACGGCGTGCCTCTTTCGGAACCAGTGTCAGCCTGATGTTGCGATCGTCCATGTAGTTCAGGAACTGCTCACTCATGTGTGCTCCTGAGGCATCAGTTCGAATCTTCGCCGGGCATCCGAACACTTGGATCCATGTATCTAGGACGCCTAGTTCTTCTTTCTCGGACTCAGCTTCAATGACCTGATTAATCTCAAACCTGGAAAACAAGTCGACGATGGCAAGGGCGCGACATTTCTTCTCGCCCCACTTGATGTGGAATGTGTCCATTTCCAACATCTCATTGAAACTGACTGCTTGCTGTATTGAGGCTGGCTTCGGAAGTTTCTTTGCTTGGAAATTCTGGCAAGCGCTGCATTTGAAGACTTTTGCACATTGAATCACTTCCTCGCTCAATCCAGCTTGCTTTACTGCATGGACCAACCGGTCACGTCCAGGATGCCGCAACTGCCGGCGAAGCTTTTCCACCACGGTCATAGCTTTCTTTGAGTGCGTCTTTGAGCCTTCAATCTCCTCTTTCGTCACTTCAACTTTCTCCTTTTCTTCTTTGGTCTCTTCAGCAACCATAGCCTCGCTGGCCATGATCTTTGCTATCTCTTTCTTTCTCCAAGCCTCACACACGCTTGCATAGATGGCTTTTCCTGCTCTTCTCACAAACCCTTCTTCATAGTTTTGCATCTTCTGCAATCCTCTTGTTCGACCTTCCATTTGGACATGAGGTCGATTGCACATGCACTCCAGGTTCAAAGCCTCAGCCACCTGTCGCGAACTTGTTCTGATTCTCGTCTGCTTTCTGACTGGTCCTTCATCTTTGTCATCTTTGAAGTAACGAACAGTTCTGCAACGATTGCACAAGGCCTCAAAGTATCCGCTCATGCTCTTCATAGTCTTCGTGCTCCATGATCCTGCACCGTGAGGGTGCTCCATTCCATAATCATTTTCATTCTCTTTGCTCGTGACTGCTGCATCGGCGACCAGGGTCAGATGTGCGTCTTCTTCTTTCTTCAACTCCTTCTTCCAAGCTTCGAGCTGCTCATCATCTCTTCGCACCAATCGCTGCATCGCTGACCACTTTCGGCAGGGAGGTGCCAACCACACAAACTCTGGGCTCACTTCTCTCAAGAGTTCTATGAACTCGTCACGAACTTCTTTCTTGTCAAAGTCCCACTCTGGAAGCAAAAAGGTCGAGACTTCCACATCGGTGTAGTTCTTCGCCAAGTACACCGACAAGTTGCCTTGGTCTACATAGACCTCGAAGAATCTCAAAGTTCTCTTCTCCTTCAACCTTCTGACCACATCTTCGGCGATTTGGTCCACATTCAGCATGTCATTCTTGTCAATCTTCTTGTTCTCCTCAGTTGTCAAAACGACTGCGTCCGCTTCCATCAACGGTTCGAAGGACCAAATGTCATCGTGGTCACCCTCACTTCCACTTGCATTCTCTTGTTTTTCATCGATCCAATCTCCCAGAAAGAAGTTCTCCTCTTCACGGTTGTTGGTCTTGTACATCATCAAGTCCAGGGTGAAATGACCTCTTTCGTTCCTCTCTGGCTTGAACCATCCGGAATTTCCGACGCTCATCAGACCATTCTTGTAGTCATGCATCACGCCCCGCTCCTCCAAAGTAGGTCTGGCAAGAAGGAAGGGGGTGGCCCCTGGAACCACGGACGCTGTCACCGGAAGACCTTGTCCATGAACCACAGCCGCGCAGCTCACTTCATACTGTGACTGCAGCGTTTCTCCTCCTCCAAACTTGAACTGCCGGATCACTGCTTTGGTCGTGATGGGCTTGGTCATCTCACTGCCATAGTGCTCCAACCATCGATGCAATTCTCTTCTCCGACAATGGTTCTTGTGGCCCCACTGTCAACGATGGCTTTACCCTTCTCCATGACAGCGAAGAAACATTGCTCATCAACTTTCACTTCCTCTTCATGGCCGATCTCATCAGCTTCTTCCACCATGCTCACTTCTTCTGGAACTTCCTTCACACCCTGGCCTTGGCTTCTGTACCTTTTGAATCGAAGTTCATGTTGTGAAGTTGATCCAGTCAATGTAGACCTCTCGGTACTGCCAGTGGATGCAGTAGAAGACATAGGGCTCTTTCGCAATCCCGACATGGGCCGTTTGTTAAAAGGGGTTCTCCTCAAGAAGTTTCCACCACTGCCTTTTCCTTTCCCCTTTCCTTTTCCTTTGCCAAAGCCGGACTTGCCTTTGCCCTTTCCTCCTTTTCCTTCAGTCCGGGCCTAATGCCACAACGGGATAAAATCCGCGTGACAGAGCCAACTCCTTCATCTTTCGACGACTCTCAATGTAGGACACATGGGCCTCATCTGTCAACTCCATCGCTTCCTCCAGCTCCTCAGGGATCTCGTCATCGTCAAACTCACCACACTCGAAGGCTTCTTCGTCATACCAATCCTCAGCGGCATAGCCTTCTTCAGACTCATCATACTATTCATCCTCCTCTTCTTCGCAGAGGACGTCATCCTTGGCGTTTGATGCCGGGAGAGCTCGTCCAAGATCCCGTGCGCTTGGCTTGTGGTCTCCGCCAAACATCCGAACCAATGCCCGGCCTACTTTCTCATACTCGAGGTCTCCAGCGCACATTGACTTGATCAGGACGTGGGTCCAGCGCGGCACTCCAGCACGCGTCAAAAGGTGCCAGCCAGACAACAAAGGTGGAATGTCCACACTCACCTCACTCGTTCTCTTGAGAAGATTGGGATGGCGATTAAGATACGCCTGCATCTCCTCTCCCTTCTGGCGGTAGAACTCCAAAAAGAACTCGTCGCATCTGGATGGAACCTCAATCAGATCCTCATACTGGTATAGTTCATCAAGTAGTTCGAAGAGCAACTTGAAAGGATCTGAGGCCTTCTCAACTTCATCAAAACTAAGGTGCTCTGTTGCATCCCATGCGACATCTTTCAAACGACTTATGACCAGGAATGTCCCCTCAACGGCCACTTCACGTCCCCTTCGGGCGCACTGCCTTTGGAACAACTCAAGTCGGCGCCTAAAACTCCTGTAGCTCTTCTGGTTCAAGTTGTCGGTGGAGGGGCATGCTTTTGCCAAACCTGAATCAAGTCCTGTGTTCTGTGAAGACGAGGGCATCGGGACACCAGGCATCTGAAGTCCGGGGTCATCAAGTTCGACACTTGCAAACAATCCTCCTCCTGCATTTCCAGCTGCTCCGGGATTTCCGGGTGCTGAAGTCCGTGCTCTACGGATGGGGGTCCTTCGCGGACTCCTTTCCATGCCAGACATGTGGAGCTTATTCTCGACTTTCCGAAGGAAAACGAAGGTCTCTCCAATCTAAAAGATCACCAAAGGGTCCTGTTTTCCTCCAAGATCAACGATCGGTCGCGTCGTACCCTACGTGACTCAAGGGCCCTAAAATGGCCGCGTGCGGAGACAAACTATCAAATGAAGTGCATCGAACGACGTGTTCTCATGCAGTGAAAACTGACATCAAGAGAATGTGCAAAGACTAAGTTCTTGTTGAATTTTGGACTCAAGGCGATTAGTTGAAACGATATAAACCCGAATGATGCCCTCTCAGCTTGACGGTTGCAGGGCAGAAATGAAAGCAATTCTGCTTGAGACTTTGAACATCCAGGACCCAAGTTTAGAAAAACGGTTTCACTCGTACGTGGGTAAAAACCTGAAATGCCCACGTTGAAAGCTGCCCTTCGAGTCTGCAACCAGGATAGGAACCACGAGAGAAGAGCAGAGGCGACAAAGCATTGAATCGTGAAGGAACAATGTGACTGATATCCTTTTGGGCTCTTGACCGTGCCTGCATCATGGTGTCCAGGCTCCTTGGGCAATCGACCCTTTTTTCCGAAGCAGCAACAATGCGAGCACAAGTGTCGTGTAAACATGCATATACTAGAGACAGAAACCTTGACCGCGCCCACAACCTCATGGTTGGGGCAGCTGCCATGCTTCGAATCTAGTCAAGCACCCGTGCTTTTCAGTTTGCGGCATCGGTTCCTGCTTGTCTGCATCAACCCTTCTAGCTTCGAGTGGAGTGCTAGGAAGATTGCTTGAAGTCCATCCAAGTAGGTCCGTTTAACAGTATGGCGAACAAGACTGCATGATCAAATGATGAAGTGTCCTCACAATCTTTCTGTATGAACCCAATGGATACTTAATTACTCATCAACACTGGCCGTTGCTATTTTGGGATGTAGTAAATGGGGCAGCCTAAAACAAGTCTCGAGTTGAGTCCCCACCCTGATGCCATTCACTGCCCAGCAGCATGCTCTGCCACTCCGGATCTTTCTGGATCGCATGAATCAGGAAGGCAACTGCATGCAGAACTTGACTCTGAGGCCTCCAGCGGATGGTGGAACTCACCCCGTTGCAATCGCATGTTGAGGGACAGGCTGCCCAAAGTCAAAAAAGGTTCAGTAGATGACTTGTGGCCTCTAAGTGAGGAAGGGATTCTGGAAAGCTCTGCTAAGGGAAGCTGGTCGTATGGGCATCAGCTGGTTTGACAACACGCAGTGTTGACTCGGAGAAGTCCACCCACAACAACAACAACTACAGCTGCAATAACGCAATCACACAACTGTGCGATCTATGTGATCATGCCATAAGCCTCTTCACTGATTGTTCCGTGTGTTGTGAAGGAATATATACAGTATATAGTTTGCTGTTGTGAACCAACATGTTTGGGAATGCCTGAGACCTGCAAAGGTCTTCAATCGCTCCAATAGCTCGGGCGCTTTCCAGGGCAGTGTCGGCCAGTGGAGGCTTTGCACAAAATGCAGGTCGGCACTGCAGTGAGGGTTCAACCTCAGTATGGGTGGCTGTGGCTTCTGCACAGGAATCACATCAAACCTGTTTCAGGGACGATATGTACAGTGATCTTCTCTACACCAATGAGCTATCCGCATCCAATCACCAACCCTCTTACTCTTCGTGACACACGGCTTTGAGCCCCGGCACCTGCTGTGTTGAGGTCTTGATGCTTCAGTGTTTTTGCAGGTTGCTTTTGGGATCTAAGCACGTCAATCGATATCCGCGACTCCACATGGTTCATAGACGCAGCAGCCGCTGTCAAACGGAAAACGCATGGTGATGGAGTTGTTCCTAAACGCTACCATATCCTCTGGGCAAAGCTGATTGCGTTGTTTGTCAACCCTGTTCATCCGGACACATAAAAATTGTATGAATGCAGGAGAACAAAGCGATATAAACCTCACTTTGCCTGCCCCTGCACAGAATTCATGAGGGCTGAGCATGTCAGTTGCTCATTAGCACGGAAATGGAAAACAATGAGCGACTTGGGTGAGCTATCAGAAGAAGGTTACACTTTTGCTGGTCCAACAGGGTCCAACTCAACAAGTTTCTTACCGTGAAGGCCACGTATAGTCACCTCACATAGTTAAACATAGGAGGAGAGCACTGGACATCGCCCACCCGCCCACGCCCGCCCATGTGGTGAGAGGTGGTCACATGCCAAGAACGACGACACTGACATAAAGAATCGCACAAAATGTTAGGTCAGCAATGCGAGGCACCAGTCGTCTCCTTCCAAATCTCTGTAGTTGTTGACTGCACGCAACTGCCATTCTGCAGCCTCTTCGCCATTTCTCTGGATGAGCTGCCTCGCAAGGTCCTTGAAGAAGGACCCTCTCAGCAGCACTAAGTTTGGAACCTGGATTTCTGCACGTAGACCTTCCACCAGGTTCACCACGTTCTGAAATCCTGCTGCTGCAAAATCTGGCACCTGGCATGGGGCTTCAGCACATGCCCAGCCCAAAGATGTTCCCCTTCGATGGTCGACGAAGTCCTCAAGGATCGACTTCAATCCACTGGCTTTCAGCTTCACAGGGGACACCACGACCACCCAGAAGCTGCCCTGGGTCACACAGACACGCATCTGATCGCGAATCACCTCCAAGTCATCCATGTTGAGGCCTTGGCTCTTGTTCCCCTGCTGTGCCTAGATCCGTCCGGTCCACCAAACGGTGTAAGGTGTAAATTTGGCATCTTTCATTCACAACTATTACTAGAGGACTCTCTCTCTCTCTCTCTCTTAGACCAAAGCTCTGCTAGATGAAAGGATTTACGTTTTAAGAGTCTCCCTGAAGTGGGCCTGTTGCCTCCCGGCCCCCCGAATAACTTCCAAGTGGGACAGCGCCTGCTACACTGTGGTCTCTTCAGGCCAAAGTGGCAGCCTTTAGACCAAAATTGTTGCTGTGTCCGTGCACTATGCTAACAAAATGTGCGAGAGAATGACGGAACAAACCGCCTTTGCCAGGAAACCAAATGTCCAGTATCCAAATCTTAACCTTGTGCTTAGAATAACTTTGAGGGGTATGCCGCACCCCATCCAACTGTGGAGCAAAAACTCGCCAAGTATGCCGCAAAGGGGCATAGCTCTGCACACCGATCCCTGATCTGCTTCTCAACATCAGCGGCATCATCCGGACTGGCGCCCAACACTCCTCACCGTGACATGCGAGCTTCGAAGGCGCAAATGCCATCGACGGTTTCCCAATTGCATGCGATGCGTGGCTTTCTATCCAAAAGCCGCCCTAAAGGTCAAAGGCGGCTTAGCTAAACTTCCCTTTTTGTTGAACCGGTGCACCAACGATGCGCAAGGGCAAGCAATATAAATGGACAATCTGGTGTCAGGCAAGTCTCCCTCACTTACAAAATAGTACTTCTCCAGCTTATCCACATGGACTTTGACAGCCTTTTCCTTGCAAATTGCAAAGGTGTCTTCATATTTCTTGGCTGTAAAGTAGAATCCCAACTCCTGCCTTGCTTGCTGCAGACCAAATGAAAAGAATCTGGGGTTGTGGCTGGCGGGTCTTAAATAGTCAAGCCAGAAAAGTCAAAGAGGCTGGGTCATCAACAGCCGAGGTGCAGCATCTTCACATATACTTCAGAAGGAAAACTCTCAGACTTGTCCTCAGGGTGAGGTGTGAAGTAGGCTCACTTGCGTCAGTTTGTGCACCCTTAGAAACATTTCATTGACTTGAAGCGATGCTAGACGCGGTCAGGCGCACAGGATAGAAGAATCCCAACCCTGCGTCCTTCTTCAACCTCATGGCAGCGCGGCTAATGACGCTGATCACCTCAGTTGGGAGATTCAGTTTGGTCTTGCGGTTGTCGATAAGATCTTCAGCAGTAGCACTTTCTTTCGGCGTCCATTCGGTTGGGCGGGGAGGATATGCTGCCCCACTTGAAGATGCATCCTTGTGGGCTGTCAGGACATCCATGACTTCATCCAAGTCGTAACAACTTAGAAGCTCAATTTGATGTTCAAGCCCTTCAAAGTACGCACCACAGGAGTAAAACTCCTCGATGATCTCCACAGCCTTGTCTCGGACTGATTCATACTGTTCATAAGAGTCGCAAGCATCTTCCTCTTCCTCTTTCTCTTCCTCTTCCTCCAAGTCATCGACTGACTCGTGCGTGAAGGTCTCATAATTAGCAAGGTTATACAAACAATCTGCCAGCGGCTGAGCCCGTCTTATTGCCTCGAGACAATCTCTGTCATAAAGGACCTTCTTAAAGGTTTGTGTCTGGGTAAGCTCTGTCTTCTCAAGAGGGTCCTCGAGATTTCCATAAATCTTTAGTTTTTGTAGATGCCCAAAGGACATCAATTCAATGTCCTTCGTCAAGTTTCTCTTCAAATCATCCAAAGATCTTGGGTTGCATTCCAAGTGGTAGCAAAAGGCCTTTGCAAAAATGGAGAAGTCCCAAGTGAATTGCCCTAGGTCACAGGTGTACCAAAACTGGTACCGCTGCTTCTGTAGCGATAGTACATTGTGAGCGTACTCATCCGGCTTCACCATGACGGAGCATCTGTGCTCCTTTCTTTTCCATCCCTTCTCAAGATCTTCCCTCGTCGTGCGGCAGGCTACCACAGCACACCAAAGCTTTAGTTGTTCCTTTTGTTCGCTTGCAATGATGCCGAACAAGGTATCTTCCAGCCAAAGGGGCTGGATCTCCACTTCAAGTTCTCCGTCTCCGGCAATGTACTCGCCTTCAGGCACCAAACAGGTCCCCTGAAATGCATCATGCCTGTCCATGCCAAAACCATGACCAGAGTACCAAACGAAGAGCTGAGCATCCTTGGTCAACTTGCCAATCACCTGCTTCAAAACCTGCTTGATTTGGCTACCTGCACATCAGTCAGCTCGCTCCAGTCAAGTCTGGACTTATGTGGACCTACTGACCCTCCACGGCTTCGTTTCTGGACACCTACTCGCGGTCAGAGACATTCACTGATCCCATGAATTCCCATCAATCCGGAAGGTGCAGTTTTGACACACACCCATCCAACACCCTGGATTGGCTCCAGTTCAGTTCCTCTTTGCGAGGTTCTCAGAGTCAACTACCAGTCCTAGGTCACAAGTGGCCCCCCCCCATGAACTGGGTCAAGGTTGTAGAGCAAAAGAAATGCTATATGGCCTCCCCTACCTCCCTTCCTCAGCCCCAGGCTTTTGCGTTCAAATTACCATGGTCAAACGTTGAAGCTCCACATAGTTGGCACTTGGAGATCACACATATATGGTGCCGATCTTGTGCATCAAACATGATTCTTGACCCTCACCGGAGCCACGCGAGCCGCGAGCCCCTCCCTGTTTGCCGCAGCTTTATTCAGCCATGGCCGCCTGTTTTGTTCGGAACCATGTGCACATCCTCTTTCCTGGCACAGAAGCCGCAGCGCAGCAGTGCCCGTTCGACCAGCTCAGCGTCACGAACCGCATTCTTTAGGCCATCGGTGTTGTTGGCGATCAACACTGCATGCCTCGGGTGTTTTCACGAAAAGATCTGCAACACTGGCTTGGAATCCCATGCTGGGAGCTAGAGTTCGCTCGAAAAATCCGAACAGATCGAATGCAATTGCAAAGGCCTCTCCACCGAATCAGCACCTGCAAACCAGGGATTTACCAGCCTCTGGCGTCAGTTCTCTCGCTTGCATCTCCAGAATGGGCGATTAAAGACAGGGGAGGGCCGCGGAGTCGTGGGATTTGCCCATAGAGTCCCGGTAACACTTCGGAACACCTCCTGCCATGTCAATGTGCCAGTCTACTTGTCAATGTGTCCGGCAACCTGAACTTATCATCTTGAGACCTGTCAAGCTACTTCCTGTGGAAATGGATCGTTCAGGCCAACCTGCTACAGAAAGTTAGCTTTGAATGATATCAACAAAAATTGGTCATCTCTCTAAGTAGCTACTCACCTCCCAAACCCAAAAGGATCCCAAAATAGAATCCAGTTGACAGGCCGGCCTTCCTTTTTTCAGGAGCCGAGATGCCAACTGACCATGGCGAACCAAGAAGTGACATGCCGAAAGCACCTACGAGTATGAGATACACTCCTAATCTATACTCCTCATCTATATCTATCGTTGAGGTACGTGTGGGTCTCCGGACCTTCTGCAGACCAGTCTGGCTGCAACGATGACTTGGGCTTCACCGTCCGTGACTTCGGGTGACGCTTGATTGAAGTGCCCAGTCTTTCGCTGCTTGGGACAAGCCCACAGCAACACTTCTTTCAACCGTTCTTCTGTCATGGGAAGTCAAAAAGAACTTTAAAGGTTTTAGTCTAGCTTACTGGTATACAATCTAAAAGCGTGTTCTTCTTTGACTCCGAGCCAGCTCTCCAGCGCCAACGGTACAGATTCAGTCGTCAAATTGGAGACTGCAAAAGGAACGTCACACTTCGTTCTTGTTTGTTGAGTTTCGTGTCTTGGGTGGAACACTTTCACTAAGATAATGACAAAAGGTTAGTTGCGGGCGCTCCAACCATAATTACGACCAAGAACGCCCAGCTTGAATGGCCACAAGCTGCGTTAGAAAGAAGTATCCTGGTTGTGATTCTAAACGAGTGGATGGGCACTTGGAGCCTGTATGTATGCACACCGCCTTTAAAAACCCCAAAAGATGGTCGGCGACGGGCACCTTTCAAGCAAAAAGATCTTCCACCATGACTCATGACTCAATAGAATTAGGGCTAGGACCTTGGGTTAGGGGGCGCTATGGACATGGCTCAGCTTTGTTGTTGGCCACGTTCCTGGACCATCAAACACCACGCTCAGCCACGCTCACCTAGGAAAATGAGCGTTGCCGCATGCACCAAGGGATGACGACCACCGTCGACTCTTCCCCCAAAACCATAAGAAAAAATAAACATAAAATAAACCCTTCAAAAACATACAAATTAAGAAGCTATAAACCAAAAAATATACAAAAATGACAGGTAAGATGTGGCAGATCTCGCCCTTCCGAACACATCCCCCAACTCACCAAGAAAAAAGCACCGTTCCAGCCATATTCGGTGGAGACCTGGCGGACTCGGGAAGCTTCCTGTGTGCGAAATCGCGCGCGGAAACACCTGCTGAACGGGCCCATGGGCCGAGCAAAGTTTCTGCCAAGGTTGATGTTCCATCTACCTCGCGGACGGAAAAAGGGATACAAAAAACACATCAAATGCACCAATTCAGTTCACCGCGCAAAGAACCTGTTAAGCTTGGCTACCTCATTTCAGCATAAACACGCCGGTCTACCAGCCAGGGATTGTTGCGAAACCTTCAGTTGTGCTGCTCTGTTTGCTAGCGGAGGCGTTGCAAGGACCTTATGCAAAAGACCTTACCGGCCACACCCCAGCAGGCCACCGGGACAGTGGCGCGAAACACTGGTGATATTGGTAGAAATCACCTCACTTTGCGGGTCACAACACCCCGCGAGTTGCGCAAAATGAGGCGGCCTCCCCGTGGCACGACTAAGAGACCTATTATCCAAAAAATGCAACTCGATATGCAAGATTCTGAAGCTTTGCTTCACTTCAAATGTTCACGTTTTTCCTCAGATGGCCTCCAAAGTGGTTGCGTCTTTTTCGGGGGGGCAAGCGAATGATCTCACATGATTTGGTCAGGTGTGATCAATTAGGACAAAAATGTGTCCCAAAGCCGTATCTGTCGCAGCATCTACGCAGATCCTTTGCTCAACTGAAGAGTATAATATCCATGTCAAGTTTCAGTGGCAGAAACCGCACTGTTTTTTGGGCACGGCATGTTCATCTGTTCTTGCGCCGTTCTGGCGCACAGCCGCCGCAGCCGCCGCAGCCTGAAATTACCTTCGGTATCCATCAACTTGGTGGCCCTATCGATTTTTTTCTGCAGCGCAATCATTTGTTTTTAGTGGTATCTTCTTCAGGCATATGTCACACATGTCACACAACCGGCCTGAAAAAGGAAAACACCCTGCGCAGAACCAAAGCGAATTTGTTGACTCAATTCCTGGGTTCAAGAGTGGACACCAGTGATGTTCCAACCGCACAGCGAATTCGCGAGCGTCGGCGTGCAGAATATGAAACTCGGCATCTACAAATGCCAGTTTCAAGCTCTGGGCGAATGCACGTGGGCCTGCACCTGACTCAAGGGTCGCCCTGTGTGAAGTGGAGTTGCGCACGTCTCTCTTTTACCTTCCCGAATCGATGTCAGCGAACAAAAACAGCTGGTTGATGGAAAAACTCCTTACACCAACATCATTCAAGATCCCTAGGTCGTCGTGCGTCCTGTCTCTCCATCACGATGGGCAAGGCATCTACTCGATCAGAAGCCATCCGGGTCTCTCATCTATACCTGGCGCTGCTAAGTCAGTCGAAGGGTCATCAAAAAATAGAACGAGTCTCATGACAGTTTACCAATACACACCACACTTCAATGACGGTTTCCGATTGAGTCGCTCGACCCACACCCATTGGTATCCTCTTGTTCTAAACATGCCGCTGGAGTGGTAAAAGGTGCAGAATCTGGGCTACACACTGTGTTTAGGTCTACCCACTGAGTTCGGGTTTCCATGTCTTCGACATCCCAGCTAACACCGGCCCCTTATGACGGGATTAACCGGTGCGCTGGGCTACCCACTGAGTTCAGGTTTCCATGTCTTCCACATCCCAGCTAACACCGGCCCCTTATGATGGGATTAACCGGTGCGCTGGGATAGTGAGCAGCCAACCTTTCTGGAACCCATCCTCCGTTGGGGGACTCCCTATAGCTCCAATCGGCTCCCTTTTTGTGGGGCGTGGATACCCCCGGCGACCTGACGACCCCCAGCTCCCTGAGCAACAGCATGTGTTGCTCCACAGCCAAATCGCATGTTCTCTTGTTTCACCTTGGAGGCATGTTGGCATGAGCTTGCTGGTTGCCCTCATGCCCCACACAGTTTCTGTGATGCGCCAGGGATGCGCCAGCGGAAGTCGACTTGAAAGAAAATGGACGCTTGAAATACTTGTGAACAACGAACCTCAAAACTCCCACTACGTAACTTTACCCAACCAATAGGCCGAACGGTTGAAATCTGGGTTTGGGTGATTGCCACAAAACGGAGCCACGTCTCCTCCGAGTCACATGAGATGCCCTTCAACATATTAACCGCTCTGCCTGTCTTTCACCTTGGCCTCAGCTTCTCAGGGGTCATGTTGGACGAACTCAGGAGGTCAGAGATCAGTTGAGGGAACGCCCAAATCTAAGGATTGCACGTCCTTGCCGCGAGAAGGAGCTGCAAGGGAGAGTGAAAGATCTGCACAGCAGCAGCTGTGCTGATGCTCCTGACACCTGAGCCGGAGAGCCCGGCGCCAAAAGCATCCCCAATAAGGCGGAAGAACTCACCATGCGTCAGTCGTCTCTTATCCTTCCATGCTCATACATACTTCATTAGGATACAAGCTCCTTGGCCAACAAAAATCACTCCTGGATCATCATACCAGGCTTAAATGGCTTGAGAAGCTTTCGGGGAGCTGCACTGACCCCTGGCTTGCAGAATCCGAAGATGATGCCTGGCGGAGCAAAAGTGTGGCTCTTCTGAAATAGAAGCAAGCACACACTCAATCATTAACGTGTATGCAAGCATCCCTCTAGATTTAGCGAGTTTCCTCATGTCCATGCTTGAATAACAAGCGACAAACCCTTTTTGACCACCGTGTTGGACCAAAGCCTATTATAACAAGGCACTACAGAAATTGGAACGCAATTGGGAATGACTAAGGATATGTGTCACAAACGTTCGCAGCAGCCAGCTGCTGGAATGAGATGTTGCTTTGCATCACCCCAATCATCGGATAATCAATATTGATCCCAAGCAAACACGACCGTATGGCTGGGCATGCAACAATTGCAGGCTCACCTTGTTATCTGGTTGCACCTGATCTTCATTGCCCTTAAATGGGCAAAGCACTGTTGTTTATTGACCAAAAACCCCTTTGCAAACTGCTGGAACGGATTGAAACTGAGAGAGGACAAAGCATCAATGGCCTGAACGAAGTCGTCGTAGTCTATGCCGGCATCTTCAAGGGTCAAATGTTCTTGCCTGGCAGGGCAAAGTGCTGAACAGGATTGACCAAGCACGTGCCCTTCAAGTAACAACCCTTGGCTGCAAAGCTATGATGTTGCTTTTGAAAATCTCCCTTTATCCACCAACAACTTTCTCAAATCTCCAGGACTGTCTTGGAACCTCCATGAAGATGTGAACATCGTGATTTTGGCGGCAGTGTGAACATGCCCCAAGTGTCTTCTGTGTTGAAAGGTTACTTGTAAGAAATGGGGCGTGGGTTCAGCTCAGCCAAAAAACTCAAAACATGGAGGACGCACAGTGTCTGTCCAGAGCTCGTGAGAAGCTGCCGGATCTCAGCGCCGAGCTTAGACCTCGGCCAGGCCAGGCTTGACGACTGAGTTTTCGACTGAAACACCCACGATGTAGAAGAAGGCCAGAGCTTTACCACGGCATGAGCACTGGACCATCACATATACAGGGTCAAACTCACTAGTGGTCAGCTATAATGATGCTTAAACTACACGCACATTGGTTCAACGGCCTTGTATTCAAGCAACCTTGGCTGACATATCCTCTCGTCGAGCACGTGCACACTTTTCGCCAATTCAACCATCATGAAGGCAAATAGGACCAGCCGGCCCAGCCTTGTACAAATCCCTGGTTACTGCGACACCTTCGTGCAGTGCCTGGGTACCGCTAAGCGTCTCTTTTAGCTCTACCTTGAGAACTCACGCTACGGGGTCCATGGGGGTGAGGTGAATTTCAACACCCCCCTTTACAAGGAGCTACCCGTAGGGAAAATCTCGGGAGGATCAAATTCTAGCGACGAAGGAATCATTTTAGAACTCCCTCATCAAGCTCGCGCATGCACTATACAAGGAGAACGTAGCTACCCTAATGTACAACCTACCGGCTCACTCGGCATGTAGTTATACATGCTAGACCCAGTTCTAGATAGAGCATTGATTAAAAGTTCACTCTCCGACTAAGGCAATCCTGTTAGGGATGCAGTACAGCGTGAGACAACGTGGTGAAACATCATCTCACTGCACGTCAGAAGGTGATCTCCATCTCAACACTCATAGGCTGTATGGCGTACCATTTCTGGTAGCTTGTTCAACATATGCATTTCAATAACGCCTGTAACCAAATCGCTCTGTATCATCCTGCCAACCTTGTTCCATCCACTGACGAAGCTCCATGTGATTGGGCCAATAGTTGTCGGCCCATGGATCTGTACGCTGCCATTGTACCCCTGGAAAATCAAAAGGTTCCAATGGTCGCTCATCTGTGCCTCGCACTGTAGGCTGCCCAGTTACGGGAGCGTGTGATGACGACGAGGATGATGGAGCCCCTGAAGGTAATGGCGGCGGCGGCACATTGCGCAAATGCCATGGCCGTGCCTCATATGGACCTTCTCGAAAATGTCCTTGTTGCTTACCTTTGCCCTTTCTTTTTACGGAAGGTTGCAACCGATTGTAAAGATTGGCAAGAGGCGGCGGCTTCGGCGTCAGGTTGAAGTCCGCTGGTCTGGTGTGTACTGGAATGCCGCTGGCTGAATTGGGTGGAACTTTCGGCGCCGTTGCCATCATTGGTTGTCGTTTTGGCGGCGGTGATAGACCAGCCGTTGGTGGTTGAGCTGGTGCCGGAAGTGGAGGTGGTGATATGGGAGCTCGTTTCATTGGCAGTGGTGGTGGGTAGTTTGGTGGCTTTGGGGTGAGCTGCTGGAACTGACGGTGGTGTGTGCAGCGGCGGACCAAGGAGGTCCTTTGGGATGTTGCCTCTTCTGGGCGCCCTGTCCTCAGGGAGGAAAGACATTGCACGGCCGACGGAACCTCGCAGCGCCCCTTTTGCGGGAGCTGTGGATCCTTTCGTAGTAGAACTACCTCGGCCCTTGCCCTTGGGGGCAACATTCTGTTCCGTGTTGACATTCCTTTTAGGGAAGTCTTCCTTTGGGGACGCTGATTCTTGAGCAGGAGGTTGCGGTGGCCTGTACACCGATGACGTATGCGTCCCAGTTACGGGAGCTGGTGGTTTCGGCGCACCAGGCGGAGGAATCCTATCATCAGTCCATGATGCGAAGCGGCCAGATTGGTCCCGATCTTCTTTCTTCCTCCACTGTAACCTTGGTCTTTTTTATCAGCATCGTCAACACCTTCATTGCAAGACTGCGGACGCTTTCGTGTCAGCGGCGGCCTAGTTACAGGCACCTGAGGAGACGGAGAATCTCGCTGACCGAAATCCAGCAATAGCTGCTCCAATCGCAAAACTTCATACGTAGTCATATCCTGACCGCAATCCGCAAATTTTGGAATAGGTGTGGCCATACGTTGTTCAATGTTCATAAATCCCATTTGTCCAATCGATTGCCCACGATCTCGCTCCTGCATATTAGCTGACTGGTGGGCATTCCGCTGGTACTGCAAATTGGCAAAATTCTCATTCTGTTCCGCAAATTCACTCAAAAGCTTGTAAATGCCTGTCGTGTCTCCACGAGGAATGCGGATACAATGAATGTCACCGTAGACGTCTTCCGTGGGGATGAAACCTTGGATCTTGACCTCGTCTCGGCTATTGCCAATTACGGCAGCAAATTGTCGAAGGGACAAAAATTCGCGACGATAGCTAATGAGGAAATTCTCGTCGAGCCCTTGCTTGAAACAGGTATGGAGGTTGTCGACACCGCATCAAATGTACGCGAGCTTGGCAAGGTCGACCCTGTCCTGTCGGTCCAAATCGCTGACAACTGACTTCCCTTTCGATCGCTGTTTGGCGGATCGAGAAGGCGCCGGCAACTGCAGCGATGCATCAAATGCAGTGCATCCCTCTCCGGTTAAGGAGGTGGCGAAGACATCATCTCGGTTGAACCGATCATAAACATTTTCATATCCTGCTTTCAGAGCTCGGCGAAGACGGCCTCGTGCTGAAAGAATGATTTGACTATCAACCGATGGATTGCCACGAGCAGGAGGACGACCTGGCTGATCTTGTCCGGCAACGCTGTCAAGCATGCTGGTAGATGTCATATTGGTGGGAACACCCCCCTGCTGTTGCACCGTCTTTGCACGTCGCATCTGTAATCTCATAAACTTGGAAATAGGACCATCAGTTGAACCACCCTGAAAGACCGCTCCGCACCTGTGGCATGACGCCATTCCTGCTAAGGAAAGGGTTGCGCACTTGTCGCAACTAAACGTGCGGAGGTGGAGGAAATACCCGCTCTCGATTCGCGGGACTGCGGTATCGTTGTTGGCCTCCATGGTCCCTTTCTTGGTGGCACTGCTTGCAGCTGTATGCTCCTCAGGTGTCGTTTCATTGATGCCTTCCAAAACGGTACGCACTTCTGAAATTTCACCTGGAATTAAACTGATATCGTCCTGTTGAGCCCCAACCTCCATGTTCGCCGGATCAATAGCTTGTGGCCTTGAATAAAATACTTCAGGCTCCGCATTTACGCGGGCACGGGTAGCGAACAAGATGCACGTGTTGGGAACATGATGACTTGTGATCATTGCGTTCGAGTTCGTCAAGAAAAGGTCGACGCCCACCTCGATAATTTCTGCTGTAGAGAAACAAATTTCAACGGGTCGATTTGCACGGACTCCTGACATCGCCTTCTGGTCTCCCAGAGGTAGGATGGAGAAAAAGGAGTTACCCTTGCTCTTGGGTCCGCCGGCTTTTGCACCAGGAAGTAGTCCGTTCGCAATGATAGAGCGCGCCGCTTCCTCGTGTGTCCTGTGATACAGTCGAGGAGGAATGTCGCGGTTGCCATGGGCTGTAAGTCGCCGATTGTATCGATGGGCATGGTCGGGTCGGCAATAAATTACTTTTGCTAGAACCTCATTTGAACGTGTCTCCAGCACGTCATCTGTATGCCCCTGTCCACAACGGACCTTGACGGGTGCTGCCCACAGCTCGAGCTCTTCATTGACCTTTGAATCATATACACGTAAAAATTCAATGCGATCTTTGCCATCGTAAAGCGCCATTGAAATCAACTCATAAAGATTGAAGCTCTCTGCATAGTCGGGAAACTTTGTCTTCGCAAGCTGCAATAACTTGTACACAGGAAGGTAACAAGCGGGATCATAGATCGAAACATCCCCCACGTGTCCCCTCAACAATCCAGAAATCCCTCTACGGATGTGTTTGGGCCACGAACAATCCCACTCCCACGGAAAGCCGCGGTTGTCTTCGTATTCATAGTAATACCTGTGTCCTGTAATGTGGTACAAAGTATATTGCTTTGCGTTTCGTCCCAAATCTTCTTCAAGAAGTTGAATATGTCCATTGCCGATGGCTTTCAACAGGTGGTCCGGGTAAGGAGACTTGCCAAGGACCTCTTCGATTTCAACCTGCACGTTTTTGTACTCAGGGTCGGGTTTGATCTCACGAATGAGTCTGCCCTTCCCTTTTCCAGAAAACTTCAGGTCGGAATCGTCGTTGTCCTCTGGTTTCAGGAAGCTCCCCGTTACGGGAGCCTGTGCAGGTGTGCCCTGCCCCTGTCCCTTTTCCCTCAAGCGAGGTAAAGGTGGCCTTGACGCGGAAGATGTTGACTGACCTGGAACAGGATCGTCGCTTGTGTTAGGGACCATTTGGGCATCTGCTTCGTCACCTTCATTGGCCATTGCTTCGTCTGCCAATACATCCAATACCTGGGCCTCAATTTCCATCATTTGTTGATCTTGTTCTGGCTTGGGTGGCAAGGCATTTACGCCTGCGGAGGTTGTTGCGAGCCCGGGTACTGAATCATCGTTCCCCATGTTGCTGTCCGGTACAGCAGCGCCCTCCTCAGTCTCTTCAACTTTCGGCTCGACATTTACGTCGGCGGTAGTGCCTTCGATCATCTCTTCATCTAAGGCGGCCTGCTCTTCCGGGAGCTCCACGAGGGGAATGATGTTGACATATTGTAGCACATCTTGTGGGTCTTCGCCTTCCAGGTTAACGGAGGCACGCAATTCGTCGACGGACACGTCGTTGGATTCGAAAGGGCTAAATGCCTGAGTTTCTTCAATGGCGAACTGCCTGCTTTGACCTGCAGCGCGCTGAAACCTTGCCATGCGCTGCTCCGCAAACTCACTGATGAGCTGCAAATATGAGTCGGGGACCTTGACGGTTTCACCGGTTTCCCAACAGTACCGAAACCTTTTCACCCTGTTCAATGCGGCAATTCCCTTTCGCGAAGCTTCAACGGCATTTGCGTGATATGACAACTTCACGAGGGAGACGATGTAGCTGACAAATCGATGAATGTTTTCTTGCGTCTTCCTCAAGTGCCAATTGTCAACGCGGTCGGACTGAAAGATAAGGTTGCCTCAGGTTGAAACCGATGAATACCAAGGTCCTCGATCATGGCATTGATTTCCGCCCA